ACACACACACACACACACACACACACACACACTATCCTTCCCTATATTTAACCTCTCTTATTTGGCAGTGGGGCTTTGCAGGTTAAAGGTGAGGTTTGAAGTAGCAGCAACATCACAACCCCACACATACTCATCCAAAGACAAATACTAACTGAGGTTGGTGTGCCATTTGTATCCCAAATAGGCTCAGTTGTTGTCCTCCAGGTGTCGCTATTACTCTTTGTCAGGACATGTTGCAGCTGCAGGCGAGATCAGTGTGGTGTCGACTCGGGGCTGTGTCTCCTGACAGTTTTAATGAAGTTCACATAAAGAGACCCGGACATGAGACAAAAAGGTTGTAGCCAGTCGTTGGTTTTCCAAGCTCCTGTTGACTCAGTCATGTTTAAAGAAGGCTCGGTGCAGAGCTGGGAAACTCTCATCAGTTAGAAATAGAGCTTTGGCTGCTCTAAGTATAAACATCAGTGCAGTTGAATGGTAACACAGGACGGAAACATAAGTCATTTTTATGGGTTTGTTTGGGTATGATGTGAACAAAAACAACATTTTCCCATGCAGGGACACGGTTCCTACATTTAGTGTGTGTGTGTTGAGTGGAAAAAGTTGCTCAGTTCACTAAATGTCATCAGTTGCCCTTTTTAAATATGTATCTATCTCGTGTGCATTATTGTTTTCCTGCAGACTGCTCCTCCGTCCTCTGGGCCCATCCCTGAGCCGCCACTTAGCAAGAAAGAGACTGCTGCTACTGGGACGGGTGAGTTTAAATGGACAATCAACTGTTTGTCATTTAAAAATCACACATACTTTATCAAGTTCACCCATTGTGCACACAGCAGCTGGGGAATATGAATATATTTTATAGATGTACTTCTTCCAGCGCAGGACAGAGGATGGTCAGTTAAAAGATGAGTGTATTTGTGTTTTCTTCAGAGTGTTTACACAGATGCCTTTGGATCTGCCCCCTCCCTGTTTTACAAAAGGCAGTCATTTATATTTTTTTTAGTTTGCTTTAAAAGACGGGAGGGAGCTGCCGTACGTCCACATGCTGACACGTGACTAACCTCACCTGGTGGGTAGAGGAGGAGGGGGAATGATGAACAGCTCGTGGTGTTGTAGAGTTCACCTGCTGAGCCCCTCAGTGCCAGAAACACATTCTCTGACACACGTCTCCACCTAGTGGACAACAAGGCTAACGCAGTATGTGGACTGGTGGTGGAGGGCTCAGGACACTCATCACTCACTGTGACACATTGAATGACACATTAGGCAACTGAAAACTCATGTATGTACAAAATGACATGGGGTTTCATTTCTTCATCTGTCTCCAACATAAAGTACACAAGATTAAAAATGTTGTTTCTCGTGAATACATTTTCAAAAATAACATTAAATAAAGATATTGGACACTTAGTTGTTACTTAGTCGTCATGAGGAAAATTTCAGAAACTACCTTGAACCCTGTTCACTGTCTGCGAGAGCTTTAACGTCAACTATGATAATTATGTACAGAACTTGCATTAGTTGTAGGACACAGACACAGAATGTTTAGAGCAATGTATAACTAATCAATATCAAATTGGATAAATTATTACTATTACTTAACAGTTATATTATTATATTAGTTATATTTATGATTGTGTTGCATTTATATTTATATGTAACTCTAAAGGGTGTAGAAGAGTGTATGTTTACATGTATAAGGAAGAAAATGACGTGAAGCACAATCTGTTTGAATATATTGGAATAACTCTACATTTATAACAAAACAACGAAACATTACTGACCTACTTCCTTGATAGGTCAAGAGGGCAGGGAATAGGTCAAGCTGACAGTGAGTGCCCTCTGCTGGAGGAGAAAAACTACTTCAGACGTCTGATCTGCTACTAGTCTGTGTATTTTTGAACGGGTCATTACAAGTGGAATGGGAACTTTTCTCTCATGGTTGAAGTTCAAAGATCAAATAAAAAGTGACAGCCCTCATCTACATTAGTGAAGCTATTTGTCTTACTACAACTTTTATTTATCCTTTATTTTACCAGGAAGTTCCCAGTAAGATACTTCTGTCAGGGAGACCTGATCAAGATGGGGAGCAAATTACAAAAAAAAAAAAAAAAGGGACAACTAACACAAAAATAAACATGCTTATACATGGCCAACAGATAAAAAACAGAACAGATATTGAAACATACAGGATTCAATGGAGAAAAAAATGAGTTATGGAAAAGACATAAGCAATTTTAAAACATATTTAACCATACAGAGAGAAGGTAAAGTTTAGGTTGTCTTGCAATTCAACAAGGTATTATACTGTTCATCTGGAGCCTTGATGTAACACTGTCTTCTGCCTTCAGCAAGTGGCACCCAGCTCATTTCAGGACTCCCGGGGTCACCAGGTGGGTCAGAGGGAGTCGAAAACAGAGACAAGCTTCCAAATTGCCTGTGTTTTATTTTAACTCCTCCTGTGTGCGTCATGTGTGTGCTAGTCATCACCTCACATGGATCTGAAAAGCACACAAGCACGAGGATGCATGAATTGATCTGCTTCATAAGGTGGTGGACATCGGTCAGAGGGATTTAACTGTGGGATGTAATCGAGAAAGGAGCAAGAGGTTCAAGTTGTATTGGGTTTTGTTTTTCTGGTGGATGTTAATGTTTTTGTTGCATAGTCTGGGCGTCTGGTTTAAAAAATAAATACATTTGGTTCAGGATTGGAACAGGCAGGAGAAGCTTAGGCTTCTTATGCCATGATATGAGGTTCTAATTTAACCAGTGAATGTTCTTTGCTTATTTATTCATTCGGAGGCATGCAATCCATTTTTCTGCTCCTGAACTGTAACCGCTGAGGTGAAATATTGCAGAAGGCTTCCCCGCAGTGGACATCATTTTGCTGTGCATGTCAGCGATGATGGAGATGGGTGATTTCTACACAGGAGTGGGCTGCATTTCATACACCGAGAAGTGACACGTTCAGCTGGAGGAGTGCAAAGTCAAATCGACTTACACCAGAAAATAAATATAAGGATGTTGGAGCATGCAGTGAATGGAAGGTGTACTCAATTACCACCTCTAAACATTGACAAGGCCTATAAATCGCAGCCGTGCACACTGGGATTCCTGCTACATCGAGCAAAGAGTCATTTTCCTTCCCGTTTTTTTTTGGTTCTCTTCTTTTGGGAGCAGGAAATGTCCCGTTTGTTGTTGGGCATGTGGGATACGATCGTTTATCATCTCTGAGAAGTCTTTTCATGAGGGTGTTAATGGCTCTGACCTTTGTCTTTGTATTCCAGGACCAGCTGGGGATAGAGGAGAGAAAGGTGACCGCGGGGACAGAGGAGAGAAAGGAGACAGGGGACCAATTGGGGCGAAGGGAGAATCAGGCTCTGGCTCCAGCTCTCGGGGTGGAGCCCGCGGAGAGAAGGTTTGCATCTGTTCTTTTTTGGTCATGAGCAATGAGAATGTGAGCTTTTATCTCAAAGAAACCCCCTAGAGGGCGCTGTAAGTCCTGATTTGATGAGAGCGTATGAAATGGTTTAAGACTTGTTTTACAGTTTGCATTTCACGTATTTTATTTTCATTCTGTACATTTTATTTTGATAGGAGTAAGATGTGTGCACATGTGTGCTTATGCATTATCGCTTTGTCGTCTTTGTGCCGGCGAAATGTGCAAATCATCGTGAAGAGATTAAATTCCTTCTGACATAAAACAACATAAAGTCTGGGCAGAATTTGATTCCTCAATGAGGGAAACTCTCCATCAATGTACATGTCTGTAGATATGTATGTCACTGCCACTGAAGATTGTTGTCACTGACTTTCCTTTTTTTATTGTCAGGGAGAACCTGGAGAAAAGGGATTAAAGGTACGTTTTTTTATATGAAGTTGTCTCCTTGGTCTCTATCGCTATCTCTTCATCAACATGACCTATTTGAGCTTTTAGTTGAGACATGTAATGTGTAAGCAGTGGACTGATACTGATAACATGCTGGTGTTTTTACAGCTTGCCATCTTGTCCCTGAGTAAAACAGGGTCCTGTGCTAAGAAGCAGGATTTGCGATTATCAAGCTAACTTTAAGTTTAACTCAGAGTTTTCAGTCCTACAAAGCTGGTTAATTTCTTCCCGGGCTCAATCACCATGTTAACTTGTGTTGACACACTAACCTGCTCCAGATCAGGTTAAGTTTGAGATAAGAGATCAAAACCTGTCAATGATCCAACTACTGACCAATCAGATCACAGGAGAACCAGATTCATTGCTCTACAGGCAAAGGAGTTTACAGTAAAGTGAGAGATAATAAATGTCAGCAGATTAATTTGTAGATGAGATGAATCGTTTTGCTGTGTCAGACTTTTCATTCGTCCATTCTGGTTTTAAAACAGAGCTTTAAATAAACAGAGGAGTTAATCACAATATATTAACACATCACAGCTATCAAAGCTTCATTTGAATTCTACAATGACATTCTACTGTTTTATCATCATTACAGATCAGAACGACATGATGAAAAATAAGAACTACAATGGCTGACTGAATTTCTTTTTTAATAAAAGACATGAGTATTAAACATTTCTCACGATTATAAATGAACATTTAAGTCAGACTGAGCTCATCACACATTAATACTTCTCTCTGCTTTAGCAGCAGAAACAGTCTGACATCACTTAACATTTTTACCTACTTCACATGTTCATTATCGTTCATCACCAGACAAAAAACGTAGATACTCAGTGATAACCGTAATAAATGTCCTCTCTTTATTTACAGTTTAGTTTTAGACTTTTCACTTAAATAATCAAAATTCATATCAACTGTTTCTTTTCTTTTGGAGATACGTGATCATCATTTTCACTTCACTTTGTCAAATGTTGATTTTGTCGCTGTTCCTGACAACACCAACAGAAATCAATGTTTCCTCTCAGATCATATCATGAACTTTATTCATGGTTTAGACGACTAATTAACGACTCCGACTCTGTCACATGAACGCACTCATAGATGGATAAGAAAATTAAGTATTAACTAAAGCAGCTGATAACCAGCTTCATAGTAAAGGTTTTCAGGAGGATTTAAAGTTAAATGAAGTCGAATACTGAAAATATCCTTGGTATGTTGGAGTTGCTTTGCAGTGCATGTCCTTTATTAACAGATTAACACACTTTCAGGGAATTCAGCAACTAATGTCAGTGTGTTGGTTATTGGTGAAGTTCTTTGAAAGTCATGGCTCCGAAAACTGTTACAATTCACCTTAAATTGACAGTTAACACTGACGTTTCTTCATCTCCAGGGCAGCGCAGGATTTGGCTACCAAGGAAAGAAGGGGGATTCCGGCCCCCCTGGGCCCCCCGGCCCCCCTGGCCCTCCAGGAGCTGCCACTGAGCTTTCAGTTAGCAGTGATGGCTCAGTTGTTTCAGCAGGACCTGGACCACGAGGACCAGCTGGACCTCAAGGTGTCCCAGGCTCCCAGGGACCACCAGGAGCTGATGGAGAGCCAGTTAGTAGACTAAAGATTTGTTCTTTACTTGACAAAATCAAATACAGATATGTGTTGTTGTTGTTGATGGGTTCCTGGTGGGGCATGGGTTAGAACAGCTAGAGGGTTCTGGGGTTGGAAACAGACTTTATATAAATATGGATGACATGACAGCTTTCCAAAACTGAAGCCAAACATCTCGACCATTTTAGTGAATATCATTTTGGGTCATTCTCAGTGTAATGTAAAAAGTTCATGTTTTTGATGAAACATCACGATTGACAGCTGAGACTGACTCGCGATTAGTTGACGACATGCATCAGCATGACGTCGATATCTCAGCTCCATCCTCCAATCGCTACTGCACAGTCTCCAGCTGTGTCTGGATTCGGGGGTCGCATCCTTCTGAAGCCACATTTGTAGACAGATTATGTCACAGCGGTTCAACTAGGCTATCCTGATATGAAGGCTCCTCCAAATGCGGCAAATGAATGTGTCCTTCCAACCAGAGCAACAGAGGCTACATCAGGTGGATCCTCTACAGCCTTACATGTCCCATGATTCATTGCCTTTCTGTGACAAACTGCTTTCCAAGAGGTAATGGTGACAAAAGACTTGGTGGAATAATTGATTTCTTAGTGTAAGTACTCTGATGGGATGCAATAGGAAGAGCAGACCGTCTCATTTAGGTTCAGCCTGTGCAGCTGACGTTGGCTGCATAGACCAGGTCCTCTGAAGGAAGCGGCCACTGAATTTAGACAAAGCTTCTGACTCCAAATGACATCAAAAGTGTCAGTGTCACACATTTTTCTTTTTCTTTTCATTGTGTTATAGAAGAATGATTTTTTATTTCAATCTTGCAGGGTGATCCTGGTGAGGATGGAAAAACTGTAAGTTTTTTTTATTGTCTTTTGCACAGTAAATATAACCACTGATCTGTGGCTTTAAATGTTATTAATAATCAAAAGGTTGTGATGTGTGATGATTTCTTAATTAGAGATCTTTTCATTGTTGCACCTTCAAGATTTTGTGGTTTCTTTAACACAGGGTCCTGATGGACCTCCAGGCTTCCCAGGAACCCCAGGTGACCCTGGAACCAAAGGAGAAAAGGTACAATCCTCAGGTGTATTTAACAAAATAAATAAATAAATAAATAAAAATATATATAAGAGCACAAGTACAATATAATAACACAAGAAATTAAAAATTCCAGTTATAGGAATAGCTGACTCTTAATGGTCTTGTTCATACAGGGAGACCGTGGAGAGGGTCAACCTGGCCCGAGGGGGCCCCCAGGACTTCCCGGTCCCCCTGGATCAGGAGTCAGATCTGTGAGTTAATCTCTGCCTCAATCAAATACTCGACAACATTCAGACACTGTTTGTATCAGCAGAGAACTGTCTGCCTTTGTGAGTCCGTTTTTGAACATTTCAATTGATTTGGACTGATGTCTTTCAGACTTTTGTGGACATGGAAGGTTCAGGTTTCCCTGACCTGGAATCTATTCGGGTGAGTTTAGTTTGACATTTTTTTTAACTGTTGACAAGCTTGTGTCCTGATTGTTCAAATCAAAACATTAAGAAGATAAATTGTTGATGAAAGAATTGTATGTTTATACTTTAATTTCTATGTAATGCAGCTCCTTACCTACAGACTCATCACAGAGCAGTGTCAATTGATCACATTTTTGTTGTAGGGACTACCTGGGCCACCAGGTGCCCCTGGTCCCCCCGGGCCTCCTGGCCCTGCTACAGCTGGCACAGCAATGACTTCTGGAGCATTTGGTCCACCAGGAAAGGATGGGGCACCTGGACAACCTGTAAGTGTCAAAACTTGTGTCTCTCATCTCCACCATCCAATAACTCCCTAGACTGAACAGTAGAACACAGTCTAACCAAATCAACTTCTGTGTACCTGAACCAAATCTTTTGGCCTCCAGGGTTTGCCTGGTTTACCGGGTACTGATGGCCTCCCAGGAGCTGCTGGTCCCAAGGGAGAAAAGGTATTTCCTTGTGAAACTGATTCTTTCTTCTCTAAAGACAATAACCAGAATCAATGTTTAGCATCCCTGGAATTGAATCCACAAAGCTGTTCAATACTGACCATAGTGTAGACATGAGACATAATCAAAGCCAAATTCAGTGGACAAACAGGTCATTAAGAAGATGTGATTGATGTTGCAGATTGAGTTGAAACATAAACAGCAACAACACTAACTGTTGCTGAGAGTTTAGAGTGTCTGTTTTTTTCCGCATCTCTGCAAATGGCTCCATGAAAGAAAGACCCCCTCCTTCTTTGTATAATGTGATGAATGAATTTGATGTATCAAATAAGTCTTTGTTGGAATTATTGTAGGTTTCACATCCAAACTTGATCGATCATCCAAAATGCTTGAATCTCGTAAAGAAGTAAATATGTTTTTGAATAATGCAATACTGAAAAGATGTTTACATTTTACATTGAACAATTTTCTCAATTTAAATATTTGTTTTCTTTTTATTTACAGTAACACAATCTTAAACCTTGATTTCACCTCTTTGTCATAATGGTTTGATAACAATATACTGGCATCATAAATGTTTTACTACCTAATCAGCCACGGTCACGCTCTCGTCAGCTGAAAGAAGCAGCCACAGTTTAGACGATGTTTGCACAAACATTAAAATGTTTTTCACGTAGAAATTGACTAGATTCTAATTTAAATTTCAGTGAAATAACATGTTTTGTCTTTTTTTTGTCCTTCTCTAGGGTGATTCAGCCGAGCTGGGTCTTCCAGGAGTAGCTGGAGAGAAGGTGCAGATTAATGACTTTACAATAAGTTCCATTGTCCAACATACAGCCAAATGCAAATGAGCCTTTTTTTGCGACCAGTAGAGAAGACTTCTTTAGATATAGTCCTGAGAGGATACTTCAGTTCAAGTCTTCTCTAAGGCAGAATTGTGCTTTTAGGATACCAGACACCAGAACTATGAAACCGTGTCCACTTGATAACGAGATTGAGCTGTCCACTTTTCCTCCAACTCTTTCTAAAACCTTTACCCTCCCTTTCATTTCTCCAGCCAATCTCCTACTTCTCTTTTCTCACCAATCTGCTGCCTCACTATTTATCCTCCTCCTCCTCCTCCTCCTCCTCCTCCTCCTCCTCCTCCTCTCCTAAGCCATCCCATCTGCAGGTATACGTCAAAACTCACAGGGGATTTGTGTCGTCTAACAAAATGCAAATGTTTGTCAAATATCGTCAGCTACAGACTTGACTTCAAGTTTAATCTGAGTGCTGGCTATGGTTTGATTTAACATCTAGTGACATCTTTGATCCCCAGGGAAATGAGCATGGCTGCTTGTGCAGTGATAGTATGCACTTTGAAATACTCACTAGTTCTGTTCTGTTCTAAATGCTGCATGACACAGGCATTAGTAGGTTTTTTCAGCAGGATATGTGAGTTTTCTGAAAAGACATTTGAAACAACAATGCTTTTCCTTATTAACATGCACTTCCTTATAGATGGAACTCTGAACACCTCTGTCTTATCATCCCACAGGGAGCTCGAGGAGACCCTGGTTTACCAGGACGTGCAGGAGAGTCTGGACTGGCTGGTCTGCCTGGACCCATTGGACCGGTGGGGCAGCCCGGGCCCCCCGGACCTCCTGGACCAAGTTATCGTGTTGGATTTGTAAGTTCTCTTCCAGGCTTTAGGTGGAGAAGATATTGCTTGAAACAACTGTCAAATACAAATCATGATGATAATCATTATTTTAAAAAAATTCTACACTTGTTCATACAAAAGAATTGCCAATATTTAATCTTTGTGCAAAATTAGCATCCATACTGAAGTAGGTCAACTGATCAGGATTAATAATACATTATACATTTATAAAATAAATAATAAAAAATGATTCATATTCTATTTCATGATTATTGCAGTTAGATTCTGTATGACAAATGGGGGCGGGGTCATCTCATTCACATCCTGCTCCAGAGTGTAGTGATTCACCAATGCTCTATTTTTACATTGTCAGTGCAAAAAATAAGTTGAGTATTGCTTTATGACACAATACGTATCGCAATAGATCGTGATGTATTGTGACCCATGTATCGTATACATATCGTATAGTCTGAATTTAGTCTCACACAGTTTGTCTGTTTGTCACAATATCTCTGTTGGTGTTTGCAGGATGACATGGAAGGCTCAGGAGGAGGTTTCTCCAATGGACTTCCTGGTATCAGAGGACCTGAAGGAAGACAGGTTAGAGCTGAATAGTAAATTGCATGAATCCACAGGATCTGTAGAAGAGAATATCTGCCAGGTGAATGGGTGTAGGCCGGAATTGTTAAAGTTAAATAACTTGTATAATCATGAAATTGAATCCTATTGGCTATTCTGCCTGGGCTTTCATACAGTTTGTCTGTTAAAATGTTACTTTTTATTAAAGCAACATAGCATTTATTTTATACATGTCTATATTTTACATGTGTGTAATAAATAACAGGTATCTTTTTAATAGGAACTTTCAATATATATCTGCTGTGTGCTTTCAGGGTCCTCCTGGTTTTCCTGGACTTCCTGTGAGTAAATAATGAGTTGTTGTTTTTTTCTTCTTCTTCTACTACTACTACTACAACTGTTGTTGCTGTTTACTGTCAGTATGTGGTTTCATAATAATCATTTATAATCCTTCTTTGTGGATGTTTCATTGGTGTTTGTCTGTTTTACCACTATACCTTGAACATGCCTTTGTAGGGTAAACCTGGGTTGCCTGGTATACCGGGTCAGAAGGGCAGTGAAGGTGCTACAGGACGAGACGGGCGACCTGGGTTGGATGGCTTCCAGGGACCTCAGGTAAACAAGGGATTTCCCTCTAGATCTTGTCTTCTGACTAAAAAAACATTTTATGCACCACTGTGATACCAGAGCTCACATGGATGTTTGAAACCTGTGTAACAGACATGACAAGCTTTAATAAGGTCACTTCATCTTTATTGATTTTATTTGTTTTGGTTCGATTGTCTTGCATGTGAAACTGATTGATTTTTTTCGGGTTGGTCATTTAGTAATTATTTTCTAGGAAAGAGGCAAAACTTCACAAATCATGGTGTTAATTTTGTTAAAGATAAAAAAGTAACAATAAGAGGCAGAAAAGGGAAACCAGAATCATTTTTATAGATGGGCTAATAGTAATAAGTTATAGCTATTATCAGTGTAAAATCTCATTATTGACCTTGGAAATAGTTGTTTATCCCGGACTTTTGATCATATCCCATTCTTCACCAGTGGGAGAAGTTCAGTTCAGTTGTCTTCAGTTCTTGATGCAGTTCTGTAGCGAGGAAGTGGAACTTGAATTAAGATGACTTTGTCATAATTTAAAATATATTTTGCAGCTTTATATCAGATAATCTATTGAAATATATGTGGTAGCCATTTTTGGGTCTATAAATTTAAAATCTAAAGTTTTATGAACCTTTCTTTTGCCTATTTTGACAATTTAGGGGAAAATATAGTATTTAACAAATATGTTTGACGGCAGGAAGTTGATTTGCTGAATCAGTTAACTTTAAGATGTAAATAATGTGTAATTATTTTAACTTAGAATCTTATTAAAAAGGTTTTATTATATAATGGTAGCATATTGCACAGTTATTGTGTTCGGTTAAGAAAGCATTTGTTTGTTATCTTATGTCGTGTGTTTCTGCTATGAAGCATGTCTGTGGATCTCTAACACAGTATCTTCTGTTTCATTCTTTACAGGGACCAAAGGGTGAAACTGGGGACAAAGGCGAGAGGGTAAATATCAGCTGTAAACCTGAAAATCTGTTAATGTAGTTTTTAAATATTCATGAAATATAAACTTTTATATGCTCACTACAGAAACTTCAACATTCTGTAGCATGCAGATTCATAACACAAAATGTGTATAAATGTGTATAATGTGTGTTGAACAGATTATATTAGTTGTTCATCTTTTGATGTCTTATGGTTTTAGGGTCAATCAGGTCGAGATGGAACCGGACTCCCAGGTCCACCAGGCCCACCTGGACCACCAGGACAAGTCATCTACCCTTCGTCTGGAAACGTAAGTAACAGAGGGAAACACAGCGACAGACACCCTTAATAAGCAGTGCTTCATGATCAGCTTCAGTCATGATAGTTTGCAGCTGATTCTCATTCATTGTGTTCTTCGTTGTGTTTGTGTCTCTGCAGTTTGACGGAGTCGTCGGCAGTGTTGGGCCTCAGGTAAATTTGCTCAGTGATACTGATACATGACATTTCTCGGGGCAAATTCAGCTTAGTCTTTGTAGCTGTGCTTAACTATATGTGTGTGTGTGATGTGTGCATTGAAGCAGGGCTGTGTAGATAAAGACACACACACACACACACACACAGATGTAGTATTCATTCAAAAGCCTCATCTTTGAAATGTCATCCTTCATCTTTCACATCATTGTCACACTCTGTCACTTTATGTATTTCAATTACATATTAAAGTTCCACATAATTTTATTACATTAGGTCAATGTAATGGGTCACTTTTAAGGAAGTGTTTTTCTGTCATGTTTAGTTAGTGTGAATAAATCAACTAACCTTAATCAAATCACTGTTTTAAGGTTTGAGATTTAATTAAGGATGCACTTTACATGGCCCTGGATGCTTGTATCTGTTTTTACTGTACAGCATGGATTATGTTTAGGTTGTAATTGTAAATTGGTCAGTCAGCCGAGACATGACCTGGTAAAACTTACAACTAACTTTGCCTCAAACTTTCTTAGAACATAGGATTGTTCTCATTACTTGTCTTTGCTACTTTTACGAATCATAACCACAAACAATTAACATCTGTCCCCACTTTCATTTGTTGTTAAAATCAGTTAGATTAATCTTCAGAGAGAGAAAGAATCTCCCGTGTTTACTAAACACAGATCATAGGTCGAATGAAGTTTAATATAACATGTATTGTTTTACTGTACAGGGTGGACCTGGTATACCTGGTCAAGCTGGATTCCCTGTAAGTCCCTGTGTTTCATAATTCATTTACCTTCCCCCTGTTATAACCACAGATGTGAAGTATATTTACATGCATATACCATAATTATCCTTAAAATAAGAAATTAGAAGTTAATGGAATTTTCCACAGATACTAATTAAACTACAGACGTTTTTTCTTGCTGCATTTTGACCCTGTTTTTCAAGGATAGTCGTGAAAAACTAACATTATGCTATATTCAACTTTTACTCTTTATTTCATTATAATCATCCAACGTTCTTACCTCTCAGCAGTTTACAGCTTCCCTACCATCCCTGCTGAACTCCCTAATGTTTAAGAATGTGGCAAAGATATAAAGTGTAACTCTTACAAAAGTGAATTAATAACCAGTTCAACATCTGTCAACAAATGTTATATAATGACAATTGTTTGCTTGTGTTCCGAGTCCGCTGTAAGTCTAATGAACCACAAGTTTTTAAGAACAGTGTCAGGATTCAAGCCTGTCTTGAAACAATACTGTGTCCACATGTATGTGAGAATAGATCCTGGTCACTGTGACTATTCCTACTTTCCATAATATTCCTGAAACCTTTTTTAGAAATGAGTATGACTAACTCATAAATAGTTAGTACTGTGAAGCTTTATGGCACAGAGTAGAAATCTATAAGATTCTTAAGCTTTACAGATAATTTGCATTACAATCATCAATTCATTTGTATTTTGGGTCTTTTGATTTAGTCACAGGATCAAAATCCTTCTTTACACTCAGATTAGCCAATATTTATTTTAAATACCTATGATGCTCCCAGAATATACAGTTTGACATCCACTGAATTTACTACTTCTTTACTACAGCTGTACTATATTGGCACTGCATGAACCTTCTGTTTAAACACAGTCCAATAGGAAGGAGGGTCCCATTGGCTTTGTGGAACAAAAACTGTCCTGATGCCAAATACATTTCTGAATGTCACACTTTCTTCCTGCAGGGCCCTATTGGACCAAAGGGTGACAGAGGCGACCCAGGAGCTACTGGCTTCGGGGTGAAGGTAAAGTTATTTTTATTTGTTGAACCATTCATCTAGCTCCTCCTCCTCACACCACAACAGAACTGTAATCAAGTCTGTGTTGTCTTGTTCTGCTGTTCCATGATCAGGGAGAGAAAGGTGAGCCCGGCTTGGTGATCGGACCTGATGGAAATCTCCTGTCTCTAGATACGTTAAGAGGCCTGAAGGTGAGTCGACTGTCTGGTGTTGTCTGCTATATTTTCCTGCAAATGCATGCATGTACCTTTAGTCCACATCAAACTACAGTATAAGTTTTTAAATTTTTTCAGTGTTGCCTTATCTACTTTTGAAACTGATCTTCTTCTTTTACCCTGCAGGGAGACAGAGGAGCTTCTGGCCCTGTTGGACCTCCTGTAAGTATATCAGATATTCAAGCTATTGCACCAAAACAATTTTAGTTAAAAAACCTTCCTCCATTCAGTTCACACTGTTCTATATTTTATGATGTATTTTTGTAGGGCCAGTACGGGCCTCCTGGATTAAAGGGTGAAATTGGAATGCCTGGAAGACCTGTAAGTGCTCTTTCCTTGTGTTTTATGTTGCTATATTTACTCATAAATATCAATTACTACTCTGTATATATAACAGGGGCTTCAGGAACTATTCAGACTGTCTATCTGTACTTGTCACACACTTGTGTTTTCAATTTAACTATAAATAGATATAAGTGACATTTTTGGCCATCAATCATAATGACAAGTTAGAAACATGTTTTAGAAATATTTGTAGATTTATTAAAAACTTATTCACCCTAACCCAGTTTCTTCCAGATTTTTCATACATTTGCTAAACTCTCTAAAAAAATGTTTTCGCACTGTAATGGATGTTATAGATTATTAATGCTGATGTGCAAAAATGTCATTTTTATCAAATAAAATAAATGCAGAATGTATATTAGGGTTTGAATACTTTCTGAAGCCATTGGTTTGTTTTTTTCTGTGTGCAGGAACACATTAATGAATTAGTTTCTCCATTCAGGGTCGCCCAGGTGTGAATGGGTACAAGGGAGAGAAAGGAGACACAGCAGTCGGTTCTGGCTATAGTTACCCTGTAAGTATTAATATTATGCACAATATCTCATTTAGGTCCACTTGGCAGATGGAGAAGTAAATTAATACAGTTTGATCCTCTTGTCCAGCCTGCATGCTTCAGCCCTAGATGAAAAAAGACACTTGTTAAATCAAAAAAGTTGTTATGAAATGCACTTATCTCTTTTTCAAGTGGTGTTCACCAGCAGCTCATATTCTTGAGACATTATTTAGTGATACAGTGTTATACCAATAACAAAGTCTTGGGTTTACAAAATACTGCAGAATGTTTTTATTTGTATCTTAAAATCAATGTTATGTGCACTTCTAATGTTTGTTGGATCAACTGCTAAATGTCGATAGGCGTTCCTCAGCGACCTATCACTGTGTGACAGCAGCTGCCAACAATGATAAAATACTTTCAAAGCTACTGATGATATCTCACCAGTCTGACGAGAGTCACTCTGTATCGACATGTCAAACTGTGACAAAGGTTGAATTACTTTGTTTTCATCAGGGAGTCGCTGGACCTCCAGGACCGCCCGGACCACCTGGACCCCCTGGGCCACCCATTCCTCTGGACCGCTTCAATGTGAGTACACAAGTTCCTAAACATTTCACCAATAAATGAAAACATTTCTGTTGAAACAACAGTTCATGTCTCTCATGTACTGTGTGGTGGCAGAGATCTAAACCATATCATATTGAATGACTTACTGAGCATATGGCTCTGACACAGCTTGATGCTTGCTGCTGGCACAATCATCATAACAACAACAACCAATCACAGTTTCCCACTCAGGACTCACAGCATAGCTGGCTGTAGTCCTAACGTGCCATGTTAGCTGTATCCATTCAATCCTACAGGGAACTACACAGGACATAAACTCCAAAACCAGATGAACACATATCAGGTGCACCAACTGCATTGACATTTGATTTTAGACAGAACCCGTATTTACAGACATAATTTGGTTTGAGTATTTGTTTTAATGATTGAAGAGAGTATTTGTTTGAGTAGGATTTGAATGGATGATGCCTGCTCCAGCACACAATACCAGTAAATGAAATAATGTAACCACAATGCAGTTCCATTGAAGCCACAGACTGAATATAAAGATAGACCACATGACAGCTCTTCAAAAGTGAAACTAAATCCCCTGGATCACCTCCTGGCTGCAGTATGGGTCATAAACCTCACTCCTCCATGTCAGGAGATGGGACATGAACCAAACATCAGAAGGACATGTTATAGTTTTCTCAAAGATGGTTCATGTCATTTAAGGCATTTCTTATCACAGTTTGATGCTATTGAAACAGGCCGAACCACCATGACTGACAGCTGAGTCTGACTCTCGATTGGTTGAGTGCATGCATTAACAGGACTGTTTTTCATACCGTTTCTCCTCACCACCATCACTACTGTGCTGCCTGTGGCTCCAAAGAATGTCAAATTATAAGATGGCAGCACCTGTATCCCGTTTATTTTGGCTTCATTGTAGTACAATGGGAGGAAATGTAGACTAGAACATCTTTATTTACAGTAGCTGGTTGAAACTTCCAATGTGTACAGAGGTCCAATAAGGAGTCAGTCATTGAGTGAGTTGGTTGCCTATTGCATAATTTAGCTTTAAACTTAAACAGATGTTTTTTCTCTGTTGCTGCTGGTGTCATCAAGTAGTTTTCTCTTTTTGTTCTCAGCGATATGATGAAACTTCAAGGAATTACCAAGGTATGACCTCCTAAAACACACACACACACACACACACAAACACACACACACACACACACA